TTCCACTTGATAAATGAGAAGAACGCTCCACAGGACCAGATAAAAACCAAGTAATTAGAAAAGATCATCGTATAGGAGACTATGTTACGATGAATTTACTGTGAAAAATATCCATCTTGGATGGTCAATAGTAATAACAACATGGTAAAAGTTTCATCCTTAGAAAACAACCCCAAGCAACAAGGTCTGTGAGAAAAACCTTTGGTGAAGTAGATAGAAACCTGAGGTATGTCGATGTCATTGTCATCTTCACAAGCCACAACGACATCCAGGTGCTTTCTATTCGGACGCAATTCAGCCTTTGCCACTTCCTGGGCTATTTCTACAACCTTCTTGTCCATTCTCTCCCTGTGTCGTGGGAACATGCTATTATACAACAAGCAACTTACATGAGATATGTTGTAGGCATTCAAGCCCTTGTCCTTAAGCCATTGGATGAGTTCTCTCAATGTTGGGTTGTCTCTAAGGATTCATCGATCCAAACAGTCCAACATAACGATGTTTGGTTGGAGGGTTCTACTATAGTTTTGAAATATGTTTTAAACAATTATTGTTATATATATATATATATATTCATGAGTTTTTAGTTGGAACATACTAGACATCCTATTCCATTCTCCTGAAAACATGGTACTCTGAATGTTTCTTATGAATTGAAAACATGGTACTCTGAATGTTTCCTATTAACTGAAATCTTCATTACTTTTACTCGAAGGAAAAAGCAGTGGAACCATAGTTCATCCCGAAAACCTGTAGACATCTGAATCAACAAGAAAATATTATGTTTTTCCATTTATCTGCATGTCTTTCAGCATCATCTGGTAGTTTTGTATTACTGAGCTTCCCAAAGCTCACTCTTTTACTCGTCATTTCAGGTTAAAAAAATTGTATCAGTGCAACTATTGACTTCAATAAAGGAGTTTCACCGGTGTTGCTTGTGGAGTACAATGCATGTGATTAGGGACATGTAGGTTGTATTTTATTTTATATACGAGTCTGAAATATGTTTTATTTCTGAATATTGATAAATTTTACTTTTGTATTTATAAATTGTTTTATTATTTTACGTGTTTTAACATAAATTTTAATTTTTCCGATATTTTTATGGTGGATCGCTCCGGTGGCCCTAATGTGGCACCCCGGATCGAATCGGGTCATCCGCATCGGTCTATGGGTGTTACATCCTCCCCACAAAGCCTTTGCATTTCTACAATCTTTAAGTTAGGTACAATCCTAAACTTACAAAGAAAGTGTTTCCCTACCAACTTATAATTTACTCTTGTGTTCTTAAAAGTCATAGAACACTTGTGCTCAGTTACTAATGTCTTGATCTTGTAATATCCATCAGATTTATCCCAATAAAAATGTATAACAAAAGGGCATCCATTTCCCTTACACACAACCCTAATTTCTCTTTTCTATTTGAAACAAACCTAAAATCAAAACTATTAGCTACTTCATAAGCATAAAGAGCATCTTACATTGTTGTTGAGATTTAACTATCATTTCCACCCAGAAGTTAGGTTCAACAATTGAAGTATAAAAAAACATCTTACCATTCTTCTTACAAACAACATTACTATCTAACTTTGTATCAAAGCTACCAACATCTGAATAGTCTAAGTAATTAGTTTCCTCTCCACTAGTTAAACCCTATAAAGCTACTTTATTTTCCTTGGCAAAAATGTATACGCTCTTCTCTTGTTCAACATCAACTCCTAACTCTTCTAAAGTGACAATTCTATTTTTTATTTTCCTTTGGTCTAATATGAACTTACTTTTAATTGCAACTATCTCCTTATCATCATCAAATAATAATTTATCTCTATCTAGCCAATCTAACCCACTACTATTCCCATAAGTATGATTTAAGTCTTCATAAATGATCTCATCAACTACTACATTAGGTCCACTAGCAACATTAGGACCACTGTCAGCATATGATTCACTAGTAATATTATGACCATTGCCAGCATTAGACCCACTACCAGTATTTGACCCACTGGTAGCATTCATTGTATGAAATAAATACAAAATAAATAGATTAAATGTTATTAACATGTTATTAAGGAATATTTTAATATATTATTAACATGTTATTAAAATGTATCATTTTATTACTTTACTACTTTATTAGTTAAAGTGTATTACTTTATTAATTTTTTATTTAAATATAATTTATTAAGAAATTATTAAAAATGTGATACTTTTTTAATATATTTAAAATGACGACTAAGATATAATTTTAAGGAAATATTTTAAATAATAATTACGAAAAGATAATATAAATTCTTACGGAATAATTTCAACCTTTTATAATCTAATAAAACCTTAACTATAATTGTTTATGCATTGAAAATAATAAAGTATTTAGAATTAATTTCATTTTAATATATTTTGGCACAAATTTCGTACTTTAAATTTTGAGTCTCTTTACCACCTCTACAATGGTTCCCAAATCTTGTCATTGAAAGAGGATGAATCCACTTTTATATAGTTTTCAAACTGTGATATGATAAAATATGATCACAGTCTCAAATAATTTTGTCATCGTGTTAATGTTAACGTCAAGTTACACAACTGTCAGTTTTTAAAGGAAAAGCACGAGTATAAAAGATAATGAATAGTTGGGTGACAATTTTATAACTTTTAATAGTCGGTGGACTTAATAAAGCAACATTATTTAATCGAATGATCATTTTATAACTTTTAATAGCAGATGGACTTATGACCGTTTGTGTACTTTACCCTGAAATTAGCTTAATCATCAAGCATCAAAAAGAAAATGTTCCCAAATAAAATTAATCAAAAACTAAAATAAATGCACATGGAAGATTACCAGGAACCTTATTCTCTCCCATTTTCTGGTGGAAATAATATTTTATGTGGCAATTTGCAGTCAAAGTAATCTGAATTAAATTCTGATTCATCATAATCTTGATCAGTAGGATCAAAAAAAATATGCTTTTGAGCTTGCAAGGAAGAAGATAATTGATAAATCATTCCTTCTCCATATAAGCTTGGCCCTGCTTAAAACATCATATCAGAAAGGCAAAGAAAAACATATATTCTTGTATAGAGAGGTTGGGGTCTAATCATTCAAGATTAGAAAATGTTCCCAAATACAATTAACCAGAAACTAAAATGAATACATGTGGAAGATTACCAGGAACCTTATTCTCTCCCATTTTCTGGTGGAAATAATATTTTATGTGGCAATTTGCAGAATGTAATCTGAATTAAATTCTGATTCTTCATAATCTTGCAAGGAAGAAGATAATTAGGAGAAATTAATAAATATCCCTTCTCTATTAAAGCTTGGCCCTGCTATAAATATCAGATCAGGAAGGCGCTAAGAAAAACATATATTCTTCTATAGAGAGGTTGGGGTCTCCCTGTCCTTTACTTCCATATCTCCTCTTATGGATTCTCTTAATGTCAATTGTAGGTGTAATAACCATATTTTTTAGAACAATTAAATATTAATTTTAAAAACAGTTATGATTTTTTATATTGAAAAATTGGCGGATTTTGGAATAAATTGGATAGGAGTCGCCATTAATCTTTGGGCTAGGTAAGTCGAATATCTAAAAACGTATTTTAAAAACAATTTTAAGAAAATAATTTTTAAAACAAAAGTTGATTTGCGTTTACAAAGATTCGATTAAAACGGGTTCGAGAGTCGGTTACGCGTGGGGAAGGGTAAGCACCCCCACAGTGCCCAAAAACTGGTACTGTGTCGCTTATGCATTGTCGTAAATGATGGAAATTAGGAATTGAATATAAAATTAAAATATGATCCTTTTATTGAACTTTGATTATTTGCTTCGAATTAATTAATTAGAGAAAATTCTTTAACTTGAGAAGAAATCTCAAAATTAGCAATCCTCCGTCGGGAAAGTTAACTTGACTATTTTTTATCAATAAAAGAATATTTCCTCCTCATTGATGTTAAAAAACGTGATTCGAATATAAAATGGAGAATTGACATTTGTATGAAATAAATTATTATTTAGAGAAACATGCATTGCATTGTTTGATTTAAAATACGAAATGAATTAATTAACAAAAATAAAATTGTTTTAAAGTTCACATTTTGTTAAAATGACGTATCGGATCGCATCACTTCGACCAAGTAAAGCTTTCCTCGCTCATTCTACAAATCGGTGTTCTAGAAATTATTAGAATAATATACCAATAGATAATAATACAATAAAATTGGAATATACAAATAAAATATTTACAGTAAATAACAATCATATTACAAACACTAAAAATAAAATAACAAGTAAAAGGGATTAAATAGTAAAACTGGAAAATTAAGGTCTCAAAACAAACTAAATAAATAACACACACATACTATAAAAACAACATATTACAAACACTTAAAATACAATAAACCCATACATTTAGGATGAAAATACAAATATCCAAAAGTACATGCTAAAAATCAAAATAATAAAAAATACATAATTTGCAGAGACCAAAATAAACACGCACGAAATAATATGGCCAAATCAGAAGAAATAATCTCGAGTAAGGACTGAACATGTAAATAAACCAAAACAAATAATACTATGACAATACAGTGGCTAAAATAAAACGTATGCAAAATAAAAGGATTGAACATAATAATAACCCATTTCATTTCATGTTAGCTTAAAACAAATAATCTCCAAAAAAAAATTTCATTGCTTGTGAAAGCCATGTCTTTTAGGTGTTAATTGCTGCTGTTGAAGTACTTGTCTTAGGTATTTAGGATTTTTGGTCATTGCTCTCTGTACTAGGCATAATTCATTGGTAATTTGTTGGGCTACATTGTTCTTACAAGGGTTACTGAGCTCATGGTCTTTGATTACAGCTTTATTACTGGCACAAAATGATAAATACAGCAAACTCTATGAAGTAGGAACAAGGGACCGCCATTTCTATGAAGTAGGAAAATCTTTAGGTTGCTCGTTATATTACTCGTAATTTGACTGCATTCCCACGTAACAGAAATGTTAATGTCAAATCCGATCTGCAGGTTGACCACTATACCTCCTGCACTTGGCTCTCTGACTTCTCTAAGGCAGCTTCATGTTCCCAATAATAAGTTGACTAGCCTTCCAAATGAAATAGGCTTGCTGACTCAGCTTGAAGTTTTGAAGGCCGATAATAATCGGTAAGTGATGTTTTCATTAGGATGTATTAAAGGGCTGTAACATAGGCTTCTTTTCAATACATGATAAAATCACATTCACTTGTGTTTTGGTTGGTGTTACCCGTTTATGTTATTCAGAATAACCACTATTCCGGCATGCATCGGTGAATGTGGGTCTCTTGTTGTGCTGTAGGATTCTTGGCCCTTGTCTTTACATATAACCTAGCTATTATACACGTAACAATTCAAATTCATAGTTTAACTAAACTGCTTAATATGTTTCAAGTTGATCTTTCAGAAAATCTTCTATCAGAACTTCCCAATACCTTTGGCAATTTGCAAAATTTGAAGGTCTCCACTAGGTTCTTTATTCTGTCAGTTTTACACACACAGGCGCACACACACACAAGTAGAGAGGGGTAGGATCCGTTGACGCAATATGAAAGTTTTGAGTTTTACACATTTCTTGGATTGTTGGAGGATTGAAAATGAATGATTGAGATTAACATTAAGAAATGAGTAGATGTTTACGGATAAAAAATGGATTATTCTCAATTAAAAAGTTGTAATCTCAGCCAACTGTAGCAACTCTAGAAAAGTAGAAATAAATCCCCTTCCATCTGCTTAACTAATTTTGCACCAAATTAAGGTCATTCACATGGGTAGCTGGTCCATAGAAATAGTTGGTTTTCATGTCTGGAGCTTTCCCTCCTTAAAATAAGTTCTTACAAGTAATGTATTTATTGCATTGTCTTTACTATGGCTGCAGGCGTTGCATCTCAGTTATAATGGTCAACATTCCCTGCCTTGTACCTTATTCAAACACTGCCTCCAGCTCACCACACTGGATCTCCACAACACTGAAATCACAATGGATGTCCTGCGTCAGGTTATACTTCAAGTCCTATATTATAGCTACTAGTTGAAGTGGACCTCATTTGAGATGCCTGATTAAGACCTTCCTTTGAATAGTTTGAAGGGTGTGAACTCTGCTGCATTTGACGAAGGCGCTGATAAAAACTAATCCTTTCTATTATTTTGTAGTTAACGGCAGGGGGAAAAGGACATTGATTCTGCTTGTGCTTTGAATAGTTCAAAACAATACTTTCCTTTTAAAAACAGTGCTTAAATGTCAGCAATGGAGAATGGTGAAATAAATCAACTCAGTAAAAACGATTCATTCTCGACAATTGAAAGGGTAACTGGCAACCAACAGCCTGTTGGTTAAGTAACTCAAGTTACCTCTGCCTTATTTGGATAATATAAATTCTAAAGGTGAGAGAGAGTTAAAACAAAGTTGAAAATCCTTTCGTTTTTTATGCTTCTGAGCCTTCTCCTCGACATTCATAAACTGAACCAACAATTAGGATAAGCACGAAAATGAATGCTTCTATGAATACATGTAACCCAAAGCAGCGAAACTCATTGTCCATGGATAAAGAAAAACCGTTTCAACATCAAAACCAATATATAATAACGGATTCGAAATTGTAACCAAGCATCTCCCATTGGTTTTATACCCACTTCATAACTAGAAAGTTTTTTTGGACCCTTTCTAATTATAAGAAATCCCTTCTCTCTTATTTACGTGGAATGGTGATCATGAGCAAGTCGTTTTTATCTTGATTATTAATAGATTTATATGATAAAAAATCATATCCTTAGTTTTTTCTCAAATTTTTTTGTTATATTTTTGTCTAGGTTCATTAATGAATTTGCTTGAAAATCATTTTTTAGTAATGAATTGATTTTTTTCATCTAAATCTCATTTTATTAAATTTTATTTTGAACGAGATAGCGTTGATTGGCTCTATTTCGACATTGTACTGGTACTAGATAAGAGCTAAAGGCTAGACTATCTTAGTAACAAATAAATCCTTTGTATGTAAAAAATCTAAATATATTTTTTTGTTGGATAAAGGCGAATCCTAATGCCTATGATGACTCAGAAAGCACTTATTCACGATCAACTCAGAACTTTGTAAGCCTACTTGGGTATTGAGCATTTACCTGTAAAAATAGAATTCCTTGGAATTTATAGTTGCAACTTCATAAAATGGATCAGGTAGCTTTTTTCTTAAATAGGAAATCATTCATATATTGGCGATAACATATAGATTTATTTTATAGGTATTTGTTTGCATCAGTTTTATTCGATTGACTTTTGCTTGAGCCGTAGATAAAAAATTATCATGTTTGGTTCCTTCGGTGGATGAATTAGAAAAATTCACCTATCCTAATAACAAAAATACCTAACTTGAATGATCATGTATTAAGAGCATTTAACTAAAATAAAGAAGAAACTTGAGAATATTATAATTTTAAAAATATTGTTTTTTCCTATTGTTTATTTTATTGTTTGTAATCAATTTAGCCTATTTAAGAAAATTAATGAGTATCCATTAGGGATGTTCATAGACGGTTAATCGTACCGTTTAGCCTAGGAGATTTTTCTAACCGTAACCTAACCATTAAGAAACAATTAATCACTAACGATTAACCATTATTAACGGTTCGGTTATATGTTAACCTATTACAATTATTTGTCAATTTTTTTCATAATTCATACTACAAAAAATATATAATTTAAACACATACTTACACCGATGTAAGTGAATAAAAAAATGTAACACTTAACGCATACTTACATCGGAGTAATTATGTACATCTCCAAATATCTTAGTACCTAACAATAAACACATAATTATATTAGTGTAAAAAATTATATATTTTCAAAGAAATAAAAATTAAAAAAGATAAATATATATATTAAATTATTTGTATATAAATTTTATTAAATATATATATATATATAAATTATAAATAATAGAAAACTATATTAAGTTATTTGTGTAAAAATCTAATAAATTAGAAATATATAATTATAAATTTAATTTCTTAACTGTTAACCGTTGGTTAACCGTTTATCAAAACTTGTAACCTTAACTTTAACCGTTAATCATCATTTTTAACGGTTTGGTTAACTTAAACTGTTTAATATTAACGGTTCGATTAATTAACCTATTAAATGTAACGATTATACCGGTTAACGGTTACGACTAACTGTTCCCGATTTTTTTTAACACCCCTAGAATCCATTGTAGGTTTTAGTTTTCCAAGGCTTTATATCTTGAATATGACTCGTTCATTTAGCTTCATTGTGCCAATGAAAGCTACGCTTTATTGTCAATAATTATTGGAAGTTTTAAACTTAATTTCAACAATTTAACAGCAAATATAAAATTCAACCTTTTTGAATTATTAACATTAATTAAAAGGGCTAAATTCATGAGATAAAGCTTTCAAAATAAAAAAAAAATCTTGAGATAATATAATTGAAGGATTAATTATTGAGATAAAGTGATTTAAAAGAATTGGTAGCCAGCTACTCCGGATATCCTCCCTGCGTTGTGCAGGTCGACACGAAAATACTAAATTTGGATTAGGCATTTCAATTCATCTTAGGGTCTTTCCAAATGAAACATGTCAGCTTTTAGAAGCCTGAGATTGATTGGAACATGCCACCAAACGAATAATTGAAGATTGGGGATGTGAAACAGCTGGATCTTGCACACACTTTGGTGTGTCTGTCTTCCATTAACATATTTGTTTTTTACTTCCAAACCGATTATTAATGGACCCTTTGATTAATAATTTATATTAATCTAATGATTTGATATTTAATAATTTAGTAATGATATAATTTAGTAATAATTATTAATAATTATTTATTATAAATATTTAATGATTTAGATTTGATACTAATAATTTAATAATAATTACTAATAATAAAATTATAAGATTTGATAATGATTTGATAATAATATTTTAATAATGATTACTACTAATTTGATCATATTTTTTATTAATTTAAATACCAAACAAATTTGATAATTGATTTTTATAAATTTTAAGATTATATTCGATTCAATTTTTACTCCTTGCTCAAATGAAAAAAATTTACTAAAAGTTTTGAAATTTAATCGAGTAAAAAACTCAATTTAAACTAAGTAGTACCGATATTGCTAAGGCAATATCGATACTATGAAAACAAAACCTCAAAATGGTACCGATACTACTAATTATTTATTATTAATATTTAATGATTTGATATTTAATGATTTAGTAATGATATGATTTAGTAATGATTATTAATTATGATTTATTATTAATATTTAATGAATTTATAGTAATTATTAATAATAATGAAATTATAATAATTACTAATAATGATTTAATAATGATTACTAATAATTATTTAATAATGATTAAATATTTAAATAGAATTTATTCAATTTAAATCGAATTTATAAATAGTCAAATTTATATTTATAAATAGTCGAATTTATTCTTTTTTCATTTCACGTCGAGTCATGCATATTTAATATTATAATATTTAAGTTTTAATAATATTTAACATATTATTTTAAATTGAAATTTAAGTTTTTAAGTTAAACGTTAAAAAATTCTAAATACATAACAATTGATTTCAAAATAAAATATAGTCTAATTTAAATATTTAATTTTAAACAAATAACAATTGACTTTATAATTGTTGTCGATGCCGGGGTGTTGTTGAATGATAATGTAGGGGCGGACGTCTGATGCGTTGTGGTCGTTGCAGTTGCTCAGGCTCAGGAGTATGGTACCCATCCTCCTCATTCATTGGGGGCATTTCAACTGGTGTTGTAAATATATTTCAACCACTATGCTCTGTCATTTCACCAGTTTGTTCTTTCATCCCACTTGGAAACGTTGACTGAAAAATAATGGTATTTGACATCATAGATGTCATTTGGTCAAAGTCAAACGTTGACTTAAACATGGGAGAGTAGATGGGTTCCTAAGGCTGCACAAACTCTGGTACGTATACCGGGACAGTAGAATCATCAAATGCATGATGCAATGATCTCGTATCGCCGAACGGTTGTGGTGCGCTATTATCCACATGGGTTATTTCCACTTCAGATTGTTGAGATGAACTCCCAGTCCCATTCAGTAAAGAGTATTCAGCTTTACCAAATTTTTTCTTAAATTTCAAAAACCGTCGCCTTTCTACCCTTGTTGTCAAGAACGACTTTCCATTATCCTAATAATAATCAAGGTAAGCCGAAGTCTCAAAATTAAAGTCATCATCTTGAATGGGATCAAGAGTTGGCAAGAATGGGATCAAAAGTTGGCAAGAATAAAACCCTATTGTTCCAAGCATTAATGTAGCTTGCATGCTTCTCAATCCAATTCACCTTTTTTTTACGGCGACCATCTAATTTGTAGAGGTGGTCATGATCCCATGGACTTTGTGAAATAGGTTGGTGGAAGTCGAATTGCCTCAGCACTCTATTCGCAAATTGGATCTCAACAAAAGTAAAATTAATCAATGGTGTAACAACACACCAAATCATTACTATTTTATTATTAAAATATTATCAAATTAGTAGTAATTATTAAAACATTATTATCAAATCTTATAATTTTATTATTAGTGATCATTAATAAATCATTAGTATCAAATTCAAATAATTAAATATTTATAATAAATAATTATTAGTAATTATTAATAAATCATTACGAACTTTAGTTTGTTTACCAAGAACACAATACTTGCAAAAATTGAGCTTACAGCTTTTAACACCATGCAACAGATTTCTTTTATGTAATTCAGTCATACCACGTTCACTAAGATGAGCAAGACATATATGCCACAGTTTGGTAGTATCATCGCAGGACTCAACTGAATGAACTCCACCTACAATGGTACTCCCTAACAATATGTAAATATTCCCTGCAGTCATCTTTCCTTTCATCATAGTCAAAGCTCCTTTAACAATCTGAATAGTTTCCATATCCTCATCAGCCTTGGGGATAAAACCATTCTTGTTCAAAGTTCCCAAAGAAATCAAATTCTTCTTCAAAACTGGGATATGTCGAACACCACTCAATGTCCGAACAGAACCATCATACATCTTAATTCTGACATCACCAATACCAACAATATTGCAACAACAATCATCACCCAAATAAACAAAACCAGAATTAACCGACCTGTATGTAGAAAACCATTCCCTATTTGGCATAATGTGATAAGAACATCCAGAATCAAGAATCCAAGTATCCGTCAATTGTGTCGTTGAAATAGAGAGCATATCACCCTCGCTGCAATTAGAATTGTCATCCTCGACCACATTCACATACTTGGATGAGTCATCATGCTTCTCATCAGTCTGCTTTTTCAACTTCGGACAGTCTCGCTTCATATGTCCCGCCTCCTTGCACTTGTAACAGTGAATTGTCTCTTATCCCTAGATTTGGATCTGAAATTCCGCTTCCCAGACCCCTGCTTTCTCTGGCTTCCGTCCACAGTCTCGATTACCCTTGACATATAAACTATCAACTTGAGAGTTTTCACCTGTATTCTGCTTCCGCTGGTTGTGAGCCAACAAGGCTGCAATAATCTCCTCAACTTTGATAGTCTCTTTCCCATATGTAAGAGTAGTCACCATGTGTTCGTAAGAGGGAGGCAACGAACACAACAGAATCATCGCTTTGTATTCATCTTCAATTTTCACATCAAGCCGAGCCAAATCAGAAACGATTTGATTGAATACATTCACGTGTTGCGCCAAATCATGATCATCCTGCATCTTCAGCCCATACAGCCGCTTCTTTAGATATAATTTAGTCGTTAAGGATTTGGACATAAACTTTCCAACTTCTTCCAAATTTCATCTGGTTACGACAGATGCATGACGTGATACATGACCTCGTCCTCCAAACATAATCGTATGATTTCTGCCGCTCGCTGCTGCAATTCTTCCCAATCTTCCTCCTCGATCGATGTTGGCTTTGTAGGTCGCAAAGCTTTCAGAATCCCTTGCTGCGCCAACAGATCCTTCACCCTTGTTTGCCATAATCCTAAGTTACCCTGACCATCGAATTTCGCAACTTCAAATTTTGTTCCTGACATCTGATACCAATTGTTGAATAATCAGGTAAAGAAAATGGAAAGAACACAAGAATTTTAACGAGGTTCAGCAATGTGCTTACGTCCTCGGTGCCCTAGGCGGCGCTAGAATTTTTATTCAATTCAATGTCTCATAGGTTTAGGTTACATCTCCTTTTATAATAAATAAACCCTGGTACATATTTACAAAAATAACCCTGTACCATACTGCAAGGCCTGTGCCCCCGCACCCCCAACCCACATAATCGTAACCCCCACTACGAGACTTTCTCGGTATATTTATGAGTCATACCTAACATGTAGCAACTCTAGAAAAGTAAAAATAATTCCCCTTCCATCTGCTTAACTAATTTTGCACCAAAATTAAGGTCATTCACATGGGTAGCTGGTCCATAGAAATAGTTGGTTTTCATGTCTGGAGCTTTCCCTCCTTAAAATAAGTGCTTACAAGTAATGTATTTATTGCATTGTCTTTACTATGGCTGCAGGCGTTGCATCTCAGTAATAATGGTCAAAATTCCCTGCCTTGTACCTTATTCAAACACTGCCTCCAGCTTGCCACACTGGATCTCCACAACACTGAAATCACAATGGACGTCCTGCGTCAGGTTATACTTCAATTCCTATATTATAGCTACTAGTTGAAGTGGACCTCATTTGAGATGCCTTATTAAGACCTTCCTTTGAATAGTTTGAAGGGTGGGATTCGATGAACTCCGGCGATCGAAGCATCAGAAGCAGCTGGATTTTCGAGTGAACTCTGCTGCATTTGACGAAGGCGCTGATAAAAACTAATCCTTTCTATTATTTTGTAGTTAACGGCAGGGGAAAAAGGACATTGATTCTGCTTGTGCTTTGAATAGTTCAAAACAATACTTCCCTTTTAAAAACAGTGCTTAAACGTCAGATATGGAGAATGGTGAAATAAATCAACTCAGTAAAAACGATTCATTCTCGACAATTGAAAGGGCAACTGGCAACCAACAGCCTCTTGGTTAAGTAACTCAAGTTACCTCTTCCTTATTTGGATTATATAAATTCTAAAGGTGAGAGAGAGTTAAAACAAAGTTGAAAATCCTTGGTTTTTTATGCTTGTAAGCCTCCTCCTCGACATTCATAAACTGAACCAACAATTAGGATAAGCACGAAAATGAATTAATACAGGTACCCCAATGCAACGAAACTTATTGCCCATGGATAAAGAAAAACCGTTTCAACATCAAAACCAATAAAAATTAGAGCAAACATATAATAACGGATTCGAAATTGTAACCAAGCATCTCCCATTGGTTTTATACCCAATTCATAACTAGAAAGATTTTCTGGGCCCTTTCTAATTATAAGAAATCCCTTCCCTCTTATTTACGTGGAATGGAGATCCATGAGCAAGTCACTTTTATCTTGATAATTAGTAGATTTATATGATAAAAAAATCATATCCTTAGTTTTTCTCAATTTTTTTTGTTATATTTTTGTTCTATATTCAGTAATGAATTTGCTTGAAAATCATTTTTTTTCGTAATGAATTGATTTTTTTTCATCTAAATCTCATTTTATTAAATTTTTATTTTGAGCCAGATAACATTGATTGACTCTATTTCGATATTGTACTAGTACTAGAGAAGAGCTAAAGGCTAGACTATATTAATAACAAATAAATCTTTTGTATGTAAAAAAATCTCAATATATTTTTGTTGGATAAAGGCGAATCCTAATGCCTAAGATGACTCACAAAGCACTTAATCACGATCAACTCATAACTTTGTACGCCTACTTGGGTATTGAGCATTTACCTGTAAAAATAGAATTCCTTGGAATTTATAGTTGCAACTTCGTAAAATGGATCGGATAGCTTTTTTCTTACATAGGAATCATTCATATATGTGGGGATAACATATAGATTTATTTTATATGTATTTGTTTGCAACAGTTTTATTCGATTGACTTTTGCTTGAGCCGTATGATAAAAAATTATCATATCTGGTTCTTTCGGTGGATGAATTTAGAAAAATTCTCCTATCCTAATAATAAAAATACGTAACTTGAACGCTCTTGTATTAAGAGCATATGAACTAAAATAAAGAAAACTTGATATTATTATAATTTTAAAATATTGTTTTTCCTATTGCGTTTTTATTGTTTGTAATCAATTTAGACTATTCAACAATTTAACAGCAAATATAAAATTCAACCTTTTTGAATTATTAACACTAATTAAAATGAGCATTTTATATTTTGGTAAAATAACGTGTTTAAATGTTTTTTAACCCTGAGAACTATAAAGTCTATTGGTTTTTTTAATAATTTTTTAATTTACTTCAAATTTATCGCTATAATTATTACTATAGTATTATAGTCAAGCCTGTGTCTGACTCGTACCAAAAACCCATGGACATCAATAAACCCTGAACCTAAAACCCACCAACTAATAGGACCTTCAACGTTTGGAGAGTTGGTTCTCAGATCTCAACATATTATGAAAGTGCATCATCTTCGATAGATCCAACCAAAAACAGTCAAATGATTCAATTTACGTATACGACGATCAAAGCATTATTCGAAGAAACTGACACCAAATTCATAATGGGAGGCCAAGAAGGTGGTCCGACTTAGACTTTTGGGTTTATATGGTAACGGCTAGTTGACATGGCGGTTGATAATAGGAGAATGTAACACCCAAAATCAGGGTTGGTGGAATGAACATGAGCATAAAAAGTCAACATGTAAGCATGTGTATGTTCTATTTTGATGCATTAGTTTTATGAAATACATATACTTTTAACATACAAAAGCACCTGACATGCACTATTTACCCAATATACAATGCCCATACAATATAACAATATATCATAATCTAACTATACATGTGATGCACCATCGAAAATCATTTTTGTAACCATTTACTTAACTTGCAAACCTATAAGTCATATTCATCAAATATGCTCCTCCCACCTCTTAACTTATAAGGTTAAATTACAAATACAAGCGCTATAGGGTAGTTCCTGGCCCTCATATTTGCTAGCCCAGCTATTAGATCGATGTGGTAGTTTGTGTCATCATCCTGCAAATTCACTAGTTGTCTCTGGTGTTGTTGTTGGTGTTGTTGTTGTTGTTGATGGTGATGGTGACGGTGGCGGTGGAGGTGGAGGTGGCTGTGGCTGATTTTGTTGCTATTGATATTGCTGTTGAGTTTGCTTTTGCTGGCGGTGGTTGTGGCGGCGGTGGTGGTGACGACGGTGGTGGTGGCGGTGACGGTGACGGTGGCGGTGATGGTGATGGTGGCGGTTGCTGTTCCTGTTCCGATTGTTGTTCCTGTTGTTGTTGCTGTTGCTGTTGCTGTGGTGGTGGTGGTTGCGGTGGCGGTGGCTGTGGCTGTGGCTGTGGCTGTGGCGGTGGCTGTGGCTGTGGCTGTGGCGGTGGCTGTGGCTGTGGTTGTGGCAGTGGCGGTGGCTGTGGCTGTGGCTGTGGTGGTGGCTGTGGCTGTGGCTGTGGCTGTGGCGGTGGCGGTGGTTGTTCCTGTTCCTGTTGTTTCAAAAGTGAAAGGCATACCCAAATGATATACAGCTAAATAATCAGAACAAGAAATACAACAAACCTTTTCACTCTCAGAGAATACGAAGTTACTGGACAAGTCGCACAACTCCACTGACCCTTCGTCGTGCAATGTCACAGACTTGACACCAGCAAGAAGCAGAATAAATAGAAGTATCAGTGAGAATATCAACCATCTTGCTGCAAGAAAAAAGCACCAGACAAATCTAGGACATCAGCACCCAATCCATATTAATAATGGTGAATCAATAAACATCATATATGCATCATACAAGGTAACTGGAAAAGATTTTCGAACAAGCAAATTCAGAGAAAGACATGTCCCAGCAAACGAAATCATTATAAACAAGACAACAAATTTTAAGAAACCCTAAATAACAATCCATCAAAATCTAATCAACTTGTACATCTCATGATTCCGAACAAACATTCTATGTAATACAACCGGATCTATCTTGATGAAAAAGGAAAAGCAATTATGCCTCCGACTCAACTCCATTTAACAAAATTAAGAAAAAGAAAAGATAAAAAAATCTAAGCTCAAAAAATTCATACCAATTTCAGTATCAAGACCCTGCATCCAAGAAAAAAGTATATTTGACGCAAAAACCCGCCTCATAGTCTCACGGCCACAGACAGCTAGCTGCCGACTATGGATATCCTCATCTATTTCAGCATGATTCACATCACCAAGATCCAAGGTCGATGGTGAAGATTCAACGACCTTACCAGTATTCTGATCTCCATTACCTCCTATTATTACATTATTAGCACCGTTCTTGGCCATTGATTCGTTATCCACGGCAGTGATGGAGCAGCTATCAAGGCGATGCTTCTTGAAGGACGATGCCGACGCACCCTTGTGGTTGGTTAATCATAAAACATTTACCAAAAAGCTTCAAGTCCCTTTATTCAAAAGCTGGAAGACCAAATAGCTGCATCAACCAGTTGAGAAATGTTAGATTCATGGTATTCTCATAAATGGATTCAGGGAAGCATGGATTAATAAGCAAACAAAACTGAAATTTAGTGTTGGGTAATAAAAAGAAGCTTTAGATTCCATAACTCAGTTGGAAATTGGAACAAAGACCTCTGAACTCTGAAGAGTAATTTGAGGTTTGTATCTTTGGAGGAATGGCGGGATGGGAAGTTCTACACTAACCTTAATATAGGCTAAAAAAAAGTTGTCGGTTTTATTATTATTTAAATAATAAAACCATTAAAAATCACCTAAAATATTATTATTTCTACTTAAAACATCAATATTTTTTCCATGTAAAGTGCTCAATAATAACAAAACCGGTAAAAAATAACAAATCCGGTAGAAATCATAATGTTTTCAGTATTTTTTTTATCGATTTTATTATTTAAATAATAACAAAACCGGTAGCACCTTTTGTATTATGAAAGTTTACAAAGTACATCACCTCAAGGACCTCATTAAAAAACCTCTCTGATCCTAAATGAAAAAAAAAGAGTGTATTTTGAGGTGGTAAGGAACAACAACCATAAAAATTAACATCACACAAAACATGCCCCAACCCAACAACCACCCCCGACAATGCATATATAAGTCAACCCACACAAATCATGAAAAGAAATAGAGAACAGAAAAGAGGACAATCGCAAACAACAAGCCATGGAACGAAAACACCACCTCCACCTAGGCAACAACAACAACCAAAGCTTTAATGAAACCAAGCACTGAGACCTCGATAACTCCTTAACCCAGCACTGGAACTGATTTTAGATTAGGTTTTTACGTTTCTTTCATTAAAATTTTGGAGTATTTTTCTTTATGGTAAAGCACTGATTTAGTAGTTAAATTATTAGTTTTAGTTTGATTTAGTAATTAAACTTTTAATTTTTCATAGCCACATCTAATGTTTAGTTTTCATTTCATTTTAGCACTCGTCATTAAAAACTTAATGCGTTTAATACCTAAACTATAAGTTTTGATCAATTTTAGTACCTAAACTTTCAATTTTTTTAAAGGCTTAATACAAAAATAAGTGCTTGAACTTTACCTCGAAAAACATTTTAATACCTAAATAATTTTTCGCTAAAAATAGGTGCCTAAAGTTTAGTCCGTTACACTTTGAAGTGCTCATCTCTAACTACCGTTAAAAAAGGTATCCAATTAAAACATGACATGTGTCGAAACTTTTATTTTCTGATTATTTCTTTAAATTCAAATATAAAATAACACATAATTTCTTTATTTTAATTCTCATTTATGGTAAAAGAAAATCTTACCGTCCATTGTTTCTTGCTTTAATATTGTTTTCTCTTTACTTTCTTCACATCATGGTCCTCTCTTCTATCATTCATTCTTCTATCATTTTGTCTCTGTTTCAACTTAGAGTTTAGGTTTAAGTGAATGAACTAAATTAAAACCCTTGAGAGATATCGAGTGAATCCTCAAAATCCTCCTACAGTTCAAGGGCCATGTATTGTTATTGCAAAATGGAAGCCCCTATTTGCAATTCAATTATGTCTTGGAGCAAAAGAATAAGATTTTACGGCCCATGTATAAGGGTTTAGGATTATATTTCATGTATTTTTAGTGGATGTTTTGATTGCTATGTAATTTTTATTATTTTATACTTGAATTTTCCCTAGAATCATTGTAAGTTTTTTCAGTGGCTTGACAAGGAAAAAAGCAATGGTTCTGTAATTGAAGATTGGAGAGTTCAACTTGAAATGATAATGATAGAGAATAGAAAAATCAAGGCTGAAAACAAGAATTGAAGGAACTCGTCAGATTTGATGAAGTCCAAAGGTTGAGGATAATGGTGGAAGATCAAAAAGAAAAACTAGAGCTTATAAAGTGAAGGCAACAAACATGAGGAACAACTCATTATTTTATAAGATAGCCCTTTTTTACTTCATGGATAATGTATATTATGATAAAATTAGGTTTTTTAGATATCATAAATTATTAGATGTGTTAAGACCAAGAAAAATGTTTGGTTGCGTATTTTGTGTCAAATATGTGAACTACTCATTATTCTATTAGACCATATTTCATGTTTGATATGTATTTTGTTTGATAGTGTTTTGTTAACGGTATGAGTGAAAACAAGTTAACAAATTAGAAATAGTAGTAGATAAAGGCACCTAAAAGTAACAAAATCAAAACTTGAGTCACTTATAAATAAGCCAATAATATTGTAAGGACCTAAATCAACATTTGCACCAAGTAACAAATGCACGTTAGAATATACACATCTGTTCTTTATTACAGTATTTGGATAACCTGTTTGCATAACATAAACATAATTGTTGTCTTCACAAAATATAACAACACAAAAAATAAAATTGCTGCCAAAATATTTAACAAAATATAACTTAGAAAAAGCAACAATAATTGTTTAACAAAATATAACAATAGTGTAACCAACATCACCAATAATTGTTCAACTGTTAATAGCAGTAGAAACATCTAACAAAATACAAGACAACTACTACAACAGTAATTGTTCAACAATTAATAATTGATTTTCTAATGTATCTATATGGTTTTTGTAGGCCTCTTAATAGGCATCTCTGCTCTTCTTTCTCTTGGAGGCTTAGAAATAGTAGTTGATTGTTGAGAAGATGTTGTAGTAGGGTGAGAAGTTGTTGTAGCAGGGGCTTGAGATGTAATTGTCTGATTTGATCTTGTGTGAGGTCTAGAAAACAACACTTAACTTAGTCATCCAGGTTGGTAATGCAAAAAAATTAACAACCTCAACAATTTAAATAAGGAAGTGATTTAGTAAACCAAATATCTTACATTTAAAATTTTAATTCCTGGTTTTTTTTTCATTTGTATAAATGCTCAACCCTTGTATAATTATTCTTCCTCTTGGCCCGTGTAGTGTGACATTGTATCTCGGTGTCATATTTGATGCTTTTGTTGAAACTAATTGTTCAGTAGGTGATTGTATGTTGAACCTATCAATTAAAATTTGTCAATAGGATATATGGTACACAAACATCTTTATTATAAAATAAAAACTTACATTGGCTGAATTTTTTTGGACATGTTCTCATATTATGTCAAAGAATATAACACCCTAATCCAGTCCAACCCGAAGTCCACTGAAATAGTGACAAAAAAATTCTTTAAAAATTGGTTGTAAAACATCTGATAATAATTCATCCATAGCAGTTAAAGTAAAACATGATAAAAATATGGATTTGCAAAATATGAAGAGCTCACAAAATAATAACAATACCGATTACAAATCAAAGCTACGAGTGAATACATAAATAGGGTCCATAAACGATACACACCCTCTAAAGATAACTCAAGATGTACTCTAATGGTCTCTGAAAATCTGGTCTACTACACTGGAATGTCTAGTTATGATAACTCCCCACGAATTACCAATAAGAACCTGCACAGGGAAACACATTCCGAACGTTGAGCTTACGAGCTCAGTGCTTCACTTATAATTGTGATATACTATATCCATTCATTTAATGAAAAGGATAGTGGCACATGTCTAAAATATATTAAATACTGATTTACTAAGTTGTGGTTGGCATTATGGTGTGACTGAAGGTTCTGTATCTCGGAGCTCACGCACCCCTCTATCCTGTCGGAATACCCTAGGGTGCCCGGATGTGATTCGAAGCTGCATCGAAAACATACACCAGCCCCTTGGATGTAAATATGGGGTGAGATCCAGAGTTGCATCAGAAATGTACACCGTACCAACTTACTCCGTCGTGTCTTGGAGCATCTATGCTCAATCAACTGCTGAAGTGCCTTGGCACTGATTTGAATATGCATTGATTGTCGTATTATGCTAAGAGGAAACTCGGGTTTCTTTATTGTTTCCTTAGCGCCAAATAAGGCTAATTTTATGTAGACCTAGTTATTATTGTTTCTACTATTATGATATTAATTATTGTTATCGCTTGAAGTCTTATTTGTTATTATTCAAAGTATATGAGGCACCTCGAGTTTGGTCCCTTAATTCCATATATTATTTATCAAAAATTGTCCTTCAGTACCGATACTGACTCCTCAGTATCGATACTGAACCCTTGGTATCGATACCCACATGTTGGTATCAATACTCACATATTGGTATCAATACCTTCTAACTGACATAGGCTATTTGGGTAAGGTAGTATCAATATTCCTAGTTGAGTATCGACACTCTAGCACTGGGTATCGATATTGGACTGAGTATCGATACCAAATTTAGGTTCGATGTTTATGAAAAAAATACCCCCAGTGTCCATACCACACTTGTAGTATCGATACCCTACCTTTGTATCAATACTCTATGTGAGTATCGGTACCAAATTTGTATACTGGAATATTGGTCTCGATACTAGTCTGGTCAATATCGAAACTGAATCCTCAATATTGATATTCCTTGGATGAGTATTGAAAGTACCCTTTTAAAATTACCTAGTTTTATGCCTGAGTGATGAACAGTGTCGATACTGCTCTCACAATATCGATACCCCTGCTATGAAGTATCCTGATTTGGCATGAAAAATCCTATTTTTCCACCCCAAAAGTCGTAGTGAGGTCCCCAACTGATGTTTAACTTTTTTATCTGATTTTAGGGGTCATAAAGAGGTCTTAAAACATGCTGAAACGCCCAAATTATGAATCTACCATAAAAATACTTTAATATTATACAACCTACCAAATATCATCTAAATTATTTACACATGATATAGTTGAGTTAGAAGTGAGTTACCTGATGTTTTAACTGTTGGAAGCTCCCAAGTACTCAACCAAGAGTGAATTTCCCCTTACCTTTGCTTTGGAGCTTTCACTAATCTCTCTCATTAAACAAGAAGCAAAAGCTATGATTACTAACTAAATTTGAAGGTTATGAAGGGTTTAGGAACACTTCCTATGACTAGAAATAACTAAAAACGGACTAAATCTTCCAAACTCCTTAAACCCCCACAAAACCTATTTTCTAAAACCATGTCTAAACTTTGATTTTATGGTCTCAAAAGGAAACTCTAGAGATGGTGATTTTGATTCTTACCTTTAAGTTACTAAACTAGGGTCTGGATACAATAAATCTTTTACCTTTGATGGCTCAAGGTTGAAAGGAAAATAAAGATGAATGAGAATAACAAGAGATAAAAAAGGTTGAAGAAAAATAAAGGGTTGTCAGACGTGAGATCACCA